TGAAATATGGGCAACCATAAATACGTACGTCAAATTATGTATTGACGATATCTGATTGATATTTTGTACTGTCCTATGATCTGGCTCCTTCTTACTCCGGCTGGACCGATTTTGATGAATTTTTTTGTATGTTTGAGTGGGTCCCTGGATGGTTTGGATTCACAATTGGAACTGATAGGTGGCACTGCAATAGGGTTGTGTTTTTTTTTTATTTTCAGGGCAGGGCAACTTCTGCCGGGCCCGCTATTTTTTTTATAAAATATAAAGTTAAGTATGTGTTTCAGTACAAAAACAAACATTCTGTTATTGTTATTATCGCTTATCTTGCTTCAGTAATGTTCACGTAATAAAGTTAGTAGGTCGTCGCTGTCATCTATTTTTTTATTTTTGCGCGATATAATATTATCGATCACTTTCACGGATACGTTATCGATTTAATACTGTTTGAGACCTCGTTTGCGTACAATTCCCGGTGACGGGTGCGGTGGTGATGGTGAACGCGGCGGATTGCCGTTTTCGTGTTAATACTGATGGTCACACGTTCTGCGGTGATTTGGAAAGGACAAGGAATTCTGGACCACGGGTGTGAAGCATCGTCAATTTACTGACTCCGGACTGCTGCTATTGAATATTTATTGACATAAACCCAATACTGAACTGATTTTTTGGCCCGACCTAAGATTCGAAGGAACTAGGCCAACGAGGATTAATAATCGATTTTTTTTAAATAGCTGACTAAATATAGAATTATTGATATTATTAGTAAAAAAAGAGTAAAAGTGCTTATCCAAGAATTTTCGGAGAAACTAGAATGTCCATCAAATATTTTGGTTATTTTTGATTTGATTATATTGGACAGCTCTGATAAGTTTAAGCTGGTTGAAATTTTGCACTTAACACACAGTCATCCATCTTAGTCATTATGTTGGACGTGATAATACATCTGTGTTTTTGTAAAAAAAACGTTCATCTCCCCCGCTAGTTTAACGTGAACATAAACAAGTTACGTCATATATTTGACATTGCTACTGCAGTCGCGAGTGTGCGAGCTTATTAGTAGTAAGGGTGACAAACGAGCATATAGTCCACCTGGTGATAAGTGGATGCTATGGTCCATAGACCTCTACATCTATTCTCTATTAAGAATCAAAATTCAGAAGTGTTGTCTCCCCTGAGGACTAAGATGGAATGCCTCGTTATCATTAAAAATTGTCTCCGGTTTTCGTCACTCACTATACGAAACACAGTATCATATTTTTACAGCGTGCTCCTTCCCCGGTTGAGTTGACTCATTTGTGCAGTGCGGCTATACTATGCCAGCCATAATGTCATATTATGCGTAAAAAAGACATCGCATGTGCGATTCACAAGTCATAAATATTATCATGATGTTTGATATTTTGACCGTGTCCCCAAACAAACGTTCGCTGGTACCTACGCGTACAAGGCTATCATATAAGGAATGGTGATAAGGTGTCCAGTATAGAGACGGTCACGGCCGCGTAGCGTCAGACTCGCCGAACCGTAACGAAGGTGCTTTAGGCAAACAAGATATGACGCATCGTTCGGCTGCATGGTTTTATAACCTTATATAATTTAAGCCTGGTTTAATTATATCTTTTATTCACTCATTACAGCCCATTGAAAGTACACTGCCGAAAAAGGCCTCTCCTATAGATTGCATCATAGGGGAGATATTTGCCATAATCACCACACTTGGTAGGCGGGTTGGTAACCACATTTTTATATTATTTTGAACTTAATCTTAACAGCAAAGGTTATATGTGTTTTATTTGTGCTCCGAGTTACGACGAAGTATAGGTTAAAAGTTGTTATAAATATATCGTAACGTAGGTCATTTTACTTTTATACATTTTAGTTTCGCTACATACTACTAATGATACAACGATACGAACTACGATAGTTTAAGCTATAATATAGTACTTTTCATGTGACATGACTTAATTGTAACTAGCGATATAAGGAATTATTCTCAGAGCATCTACTCTCTCTTACACATTCGTATGAATATACATTATAAGTATCGTTTAAGGCGAAAAATCAATGTATTATCATCAGCAAATAAAATTAAATCATGGTTATTCCTTACCAAAGTAGGTCATTATCATTAATATAAAGTAAGAACAGGAAGGGGCTAAGAATTGAGCCCTGCGGAACACCCATAGATACCACTAGTGTTGCCCGAATGCAAGAACAAGACGAGACTTAGCAAGTCTTGGTCTTGGTCTTGCGCCAATACACCTGGTCTTGGTCTTGGTATTGCGCTCCCAGTCTTGGTCTTGGTTTTGCGGCAAGAGTCTCGCAAGTCTCGCAATTACTATATTAGCCTATTACTATTTATTAATCGTTACTTTAGATCTTAGAACAACTTAACAGAGTAGGTACATATTGAGCTTGAATTAACGTAGCCATAGTAAAGACCAACCACATTAATAAATGTCTAAACATTTAATGAAAAATTCGAAAAATCAACTAACACCGGGTGGGGTTTGAAGCCACGATCTAAGCGATCCGTGCCGATGACCTAACCAACTGAGCTATCTACCGTAACCCACGGCCACGGGCGTCTGTCTGTTTCTTAATAAACGTTTACATGGTAAAACATGGTTAAACATATAAAAACAAATTAATGGCAACAACTTCACTGTATTTTAAAGTCTAGAAAGAGATTGATGGACCCTCACCATATATGAAATGGAATAAAAGAGTTATACAATATACCATTTATTTAAATAAAAAATTAAATACGATACAAATTAAATTACTTCACAGTACACAATAGCTTTGACATTACTGTTACTTGCTGACTCATCACTTAACCTATTTCTATGTTTTCTAATTACTAATGATGCTTTAGAAAATAATCTCTCAGCAGGTACTGAAGTTGCAGGTATTGAAAGGAAATCACGGGCTATCTTCGATAAAATCGAATATTTTGTCTCATGCGTCCTCCACCACTCTAAAATGTCTTCCGAGCTGGCGGCTCTGGATTTACTTAGGTACTCCTCCAACTCGTTAATAACTAAGCCTTCTAGACAAGATCCAGATCCATTTTTACACATTTTAAGTATTTTAAAAGTGTCTACAATATTTATCAAATGAGTGACGACATATGGAGCACTTTGTGTTTTAAAAACACACACTTCCAAAAGTCGAGATTTGCAGTGAACTTATTGAACATGTCTATCTATTAGGTAATAATAATAGTAATTATTATAAACATAGTTAATGTTATAATAATGACTTACTAGAATAAATTATTATGATATCTACCTATCCTTACGATTATTCCTTGCGAGATCAGCATAATGTATTCATGTCAATTTTGAGCACCCGGAAACTTATTTTATTCTTTGGAACATGTACTCTGTGGCGGCAATCAATTTTATGTGGTAGAGCCATGCTCCAGCTATATTAGTGGTATAGTAGTAGCACGAATGGGTCGGCTCGACCGGGGAAAGACCACGCTCTCACAGAATACCAGCGTAAATAGCAGCTTAACGCTGCTGTGTTTCGTATGGTGAGTGTAGAGAACCGGAGGCTCTTTTTACTGGAACCGAGGCATTCCATCTTAGTCCTCACGGGTGACGACGCATCTGCGATGTAGATGTCTATGGGCTACAGCAACCACTTACCATCAGATGGACTGTATGCTCGTTTGTCACCCTATTCCTATAAAAAAATATCAAACAGTGTCAAATGTAATGAGTCCCTAAGCATATACCCAAACTCCTATACTCCCTGAAACAACACTCAGTCCTAACTGCAAGACGCAAGAGTCTCGCAAGCTTGGTCTTGTTCTTGCGCAAATCTTGCACGGTTAGTCTTGGTCTTGGTCTTGCTAAAATGCAAGAACAAGACCAAGACTGCAAGACCAAGACCGATTTTGGGCAACACTAGATACTACCGATCCGGAAGAACTACTTCCACATCTACTGTTCACTATTATTTAAATATGATGTAATAAATTTAAGCGCTATGTTTTTGTACGTAATTGCAAATAAAGTATGTTTTGATCGTCGCACTATTTAAAAAGAAGAAGGACTGCAAGAATGGAAGAAAAGTTACTCCGAGTGATCAGCGGGCGCGCGGGGGCGTGGGAAAAGTTCGCATTTTGACGTCGAGTGGCGCGAGTCAAGCTCGAACTTTTCCTGCGTCACAGCGCGTCCACACCTCGCCGCTGCAACTCTGCTCGACCAGCTGCCTGCCGGACACACTTCAAATAAAATTACTCAAGCTCAAGTCAATACAGTTTTGAGGCGTACCTCGGCAAATATTTTGCATCAAGTCATTCCTACTTCTGTTGCATGGTATCGTACTAAACCTGTGTTGCGCTACAGACAGAGGATGTCATAAACTTCTGTATCAATGAAAGACACGTGAGGTCGGTTAGGTTGCATTAATTGTACTACATTAGCTGTTGACTTACTATGTTTAACATTTTTTAGTTTAACATTACACTATGTCAGTATTTGGATGTGCTATCTTTGGTTTTACTTTCAAATAACTATTTGTTTGCTAAATATTGTTTTCGAGTGTGTATGTGCTTTGTGGTTGTGTGTGTGTGTGTGTGTGTAGGGTTAGCAGATGATAGGGATTTTCTTGACATGTCTGAAAATTTAGCTCTCTGTCAGGGAAATAGGGAAAATTTTAAATTTTCAGGAACTTTGAAATAGGAAAGTAAAATATATTTGATACAAATTAAGTTATTTATTAAACAGTTTAATCACAAAAAATATTAATATAAGTATAAATCAAATCTCAACAATTAAATTGTTTCATTCATATGATCTGGCTCGTACTTTTTATGGCTGGATATTGCGGATATGTCAAGCACATGCGCGAGTTTTTACTATTAGATATTTTTGCAGCCTGTTCGTCAATATCAGGAAATTTATTGTGTCAGGGATTTTACCAGGAAACCATAATTTCGGATCTGGTCAACTTTTGTGTGTGGCACTAATAAGACATTTGTGTAGACGCTGGCGCCGGGTGGCAATACGACCTTCAGCGTGGTGTACCTTGGCCGCCACGAGGGGCCCGTCGCCGCTAATCTTTACATACACACCTCGCTCGGCGTGCACAAGTACCCAGTAAGTACTATACATACACATCTACACACGCGTATTCACGCATGCATTACATTTACAACCAGTAGAATAAGTTCAGACTGCTCTACTTACAAAGTTGCAACCGCTGTTTGTCTTACAATTATTCAGTAAATGAAGAATTTACAAATTTTGAATTATTTAAATGAAGGCTATTAGAATTTATCTAATGGTTTGGTTCTTACTAATTTAATTGATCGATAAATGATTTCAGACTAGATAAAACGTTTTTATGAAAAAATGCAGGTGTCAGCGATAGGCGTGGCCAACGAGTACGATGTGTGGCCGCTTTTGGGAGTGCGGGTTCCTATCAACGCGTCTGTTGAGCCAATGCTTACCTTATATAATCCCACAGACGAAACCATCCAGGTAAGATTTATTATTAGAGCTTTTGTGGTATCTTATTTTAAATAAAACATCTTTAAAAATATGAAAAAAAAAAAACAGTACTAATATTTCGCACCGAAAACACAAAGTCTACATATTCTTGAGCTAGTTGCAACTTCGGAGTTATTTATTTTAGTAAATTTATTTTATTTTTTGACTTTCATATGTTGTATTTTTAGCAGTATCTGATTCTATAATTTTTTCTTACACTTTTATATCCTTCTCCAATGAACTCTATTGGAAGCAATTCAGGGAAATGGAAATCTGCCCTACTGTGGGCAAGGCTCATAGTGTTGATGATTTTCCTTAACTTATTAGACTCGGTAGACGGATTACTTCTTGTCGTTACGAGTAATTCTTGTCTCGCATCGAACGCAGATTCTCGTCGCAGATGTGGGTATTTTCATATCACACATTCATTATAAACAACCTTTTTATGTCCATTTCTGGACGTAACATTTCCATGCGCCAAGTTATACGTGGCATAGCGAAGTGTTATTGTTATCTACGGTGGTATTGCTATTTATTAAAGGCTTGAAGGTAATTTTGTTTTTTACGACAACCGTAGGACGATATTTATCTATATATTAATAGGTGAAGGGAAAACTTTGTACCACTTTTTAATTATATTGCGCGCATGGAGTAGTGTGAGATTTGGTATAGTTCAATATGATGTTGCAGTACAAAAAGGTAAAATGTAAGTAAAATATGTAATAATTTATAATAAATTCATTAAATAAAACAAAACATTTATTGTTTACGTTTATACTGCTTATAATAGTCTGTGGTCACATAGAGTACATGATATTAAAGGATTTTAAAAGGTTGCTAATAAATAATAACTATTTTACTTTGTGTGGTTTCTGAATAGGCTATGTAGTGTATGTCAAGGCAGAAAAGCGTTTGCGTTATATTTATTACTAGTTGTTGCCCGCGACTTCGCCCGCATGTTATTAATTTTTTGCCCGGAACCCTAATTCTTTTTCTAAAATAAAAGTAGCTTAAGTTACTCCTTATCATATCAGCTATCAATCAGTGAAAGTTCCGTCAAAATCGGTCCAGCCGTTTCGGAGATTAGCCGGAATAAACAGACAGACCGACAAAAAATTTAAAAATCGTGTTTTTATTATAGGTACCGTATATACTTTCATATGCATTTAGTAAAACGCTGCAATTTTGACATTACAAATAGACTTTTTTTATATATTTGTATAGATATATTTTATTTATTTGTAATTGTATAGATATGACATATCCCGTTTTTTAAACTGAAATATTTCTCATACTGATACTGAAATATTTATAATTTCCCACGAAATACGGTAATCTTAATATAAAATTTTTAATTGAATGCATTACGGTTGAATCCACCATCGGACAACCAGACGCTCGGTCGGTCTCCAACTTTTCGTTGTTGATTTACCGTGCATTCGAATCAAACAGTTTACTCCGTTGTTCGTTACGCGTACAGCACACGAGTGGAATAAGTTGCCAGTTTCTGTCTTTTCACCCGATTACATTGTGGGTGTTTTCCAGACAAAGTGAATAGACTTTGGTTGAAACAGTCCGCTCCACCTTGTTGTGCACTATCACTTGCCATCAGGTGGGATGGTAGTAAAGCGCCGGCTTATAATAGTAAAGAAAATATCGTGTAGTAGTTGGTACTTTGTATAATGAAGCGGGGAAGTGGGGAGAGTGAGTGGCGCGAGTGGGTGTGGGGTGTGGGCAGACAGGAGAAGTGATGCGCGCGGTGCGGTCGGTGGCAGGTGAGCGAGGTGTACTCGTCGGGCGCGTGGCTGGGCCTGCAGCTGCCGGGCGGCGGGCGCAGCGCGGCGCGCGCCGCCTGGGCCGTGCCGCCGCGCGCCGCGCGCGACCTCGTGCGCCTGCGCCTGCGCCCGCACCACCACCACCACCACCACCAGCACCACAATCCGCCGCAACGCACGCTTACCGCGTACGTCAGGTCAGTCATACGCACATTATACTTGTTGGGAATACTATGCTACAACTTGTAAAAACTTGTAAAAATTGTCTGTGAAGGTAGTAAGTTCATTTTCGACCAAGAAGTTTCTCTATGAATACAATTCAGTTGAACAGTATTCGAAAAACTATGACGCACTTTCACCTTAGTGTTTTTAAAGTCTTAAATATGCTACGTTTAATACATGTTTCTGGTGAACTGCTAAGTAGAAACTTAGTAATATATTACTAATGTCGACAGTGTATGTGATAGAATTTGGAAAGTAGATATCCACTGTGAAAACAAAATAATCGATATAGCCCAATGAATCACTAAATACAGGTGGATCAGAACCATGATTTGGGAACTTGTAATAGATAATTCGTTAATAGAGGAAATTTTACGTTTATCGTGGTATTTTAAAGTATGTATGAAGACTCATCTGGTTGTATTAAGTGTGTATATGTGCGTGTGTCAGGGTGAAAGCGAACATTCCTGGCGGCGCGCTGGTGGTGTGCGTGGAGGCGCGCAGCGCGCCGGCCGGCGAGCACGCCGCGCCGCTGCAGCTGCGCCTGCGCCCGCGTGGCGCCCGCGACCCGCCGCTCACGGTACGCACCCGCACTGCACTACACTACACTACACTACACTACGCTACACTACACTACACTACACTACACTGCACTGCACTGCAGTACACTACACTGCACTGCAATGCACTACACTACACTGCACTGCACTGCACTACACTGCAATACACTGCAATACACTACACTGCACTGCAATGCACTGCAATGCACTACCCTACACTGCACTGCACTGCACTACACTGCAATACACTGCACTGCACTGCACTGCAAAACACTTCACTGCACTACACTGCACTACACTACACTACACTACACTGCACTGCACTACACTACACTGCACTGCACTACACTACACTGTACTACACCGCACTGCACTATACTACACTACACTGCACTGCACTACACTATATTACACTACACTACACTGCACTGCACTACACTACACCCACGAAGCAAATACAAAGAGGAGACGGCCTAAGCAGGTGTGCACTGTGATTCTAACTAGGTCCTGACGTCATCACAGTGGCCATGGCTTTAGTTAATATACTGTCACCGTTCGTCCTGTACGCTTATGTGTCGAAAATCGCAAATCAGTGTGTTTATGCCCAAAATTGGTCATTTTGAACGCCATCCAATAGCGTTCGAGCTGGCGCGTCACCCGATGGTATGTAGGTGAGGAAAACGCCGCCAGGTGGGGCGGCCGTGTGCGGCTTGCAGTGGCTCGACGCGTGGGCGAAGAGATGAGTAGTTTGCTGGCCGCGATGCGGTGAATCTGCGTATCTAAGCTATCGCGGCAGAAGTTCACGTGACCGGTAGGGTCCAGATGGTTAGATTTAGTGCGTGTTACTTCGCTCCGTGGATATGTGAATTTTGCAATATTTAACTTGTTCGGGTGATGTGGAATTACGCACGCGCGCGCCGAGTAGATTTACGATCTAGGATTTGAACCGCGCATTCCTTGTTCGAGAGCGTCTCCCGGTTGATTGTCTGGAAATTATTATAATTGTTCCGTCGCGTTAAGTGCCCTTTTTTGTGTGTTGGCTGGTTTGTTAGTTTTACGTGTCAACGAGGCGTATTTTGAATTCTTATCGCGGCGTGGTGTTTTGGTATTGAACGAAGGGACTTAGTTGTGTTTAACGCTGAGCCGTATGACTCATTAAGAGATCGCGTTAGTTCCCTATTTATAATTTTGTGATAAGTGAATCCGGGACATTGAATGTCAAATTTTGAACTACTGTCCGTACTGTGTCGGGTATCACGTGTTCGATTCTACGATGAATGTGGAATTAGGCAAGTTTAAGTTAGTTAAATGTACAATGGAGCTAATAGACTGAAATAGTGACAATGAAGAAAGAAATGGTCCAGCGGTGGAGCCTGCTGGAGCGATGCAGCCTTGTGGGGCAGCCTGGAACTCGGCCGCTGCTGGTCGCCTAAGCTGGTCCAGGTCTCAGACATTTACATATCACTAAACAGTACTTGCCATTTACCTTACACCCACTTACGGCCTGACCGAGCCTTGGTACGATCTTAGAGTCAGAAACAGGTACGTAAAAAGAAAACGAACAATGGGTAGAGTGCACTAAAATAACAATAAAAAAAATAAAAAGAGAAGAAAAATATAAATAAAGAAGTGAAAACTTCTTTAGAATCGCTGTGGTTTGAAACTATGAAAACTATACACTATGTACGTTACACCTAATATGCTGCTGCTGATGAGATAAATAATATGCTGATCGGGCGATGTGTACGGTATAACACAGTGTATTATCAGTGGTAGAGCCACGCGGCAGCTTTTGCTGTCGCACGGATGGGCCGGCTCGAACCGGGGTGGTACCACGACTTCACAGAAAACCAGCGTGAAGTAGAGGTTTACCTCTGCGTTTCGCTTGGTGAGTGCAGGTGGCCGGAGGCCCTTTTTACTGGAAATAAGGCATTCCATCTTAGTCCTCACGGGTGACAACGCATCTGCATTTTGATTTGTAATGGAGGATAGATGTAGAAGTCTATGGGCCGCAGCAACCACTTACCATCAGGTGGACTGTGTGCTCGTTTGTCACTCGTATCCTATAAAAAAAAAACACTCACTATACACTCTCGCCCACTATACAGAATATTTACGAAAATTTAATGTATGTTCACAAAAACAAAGGTAGTTTTAGTAAAAAAAGTGATGTGCATTCTGTAAACACTAGGAACAAACACAAGCTAGTGATACCAGTTTCTCGACTCCACAGAGTCAGTAATTCATTCTTGGGGCAATGTATACGTTATTACAACAAGGTCCCGGAAAGTGTACAGGCTCTCTCTATTAGCAAGTTTAAATGTTTTGTTAAGTTGAAACTGTGTAAAAAGGGTTATTATAGTATAAATGAATACATGGTTGATAATAACCCCTGGGAATGAGGTGATCGCTTCCAAGCTGTTTCTAAAATAAATTTTGTACTTATATAGTTTGTACAAAAAAAAGTCCCGCTGGGTTTCTTGCTGGTTCTTCCCAGGACAGAGATTATTTTTCGAACCAGTGGTAAAGTAAAAAATGACTTTCAATAACAATTACACATGTGATCTATATTGAATAAAAAAATTATTATATTCTATTCTAGTCCCAAAAGTCGACGTCAAGCCGGAATCGGGTGATAGGACAAATCATAATAGTTACCAGAAAAATATAAAAAGAATCTTAGTCATGTATTTTTTAAATTACAGTAATTTCTTTCATTTTTTTTGTAAAATGTACGTCCTGTGATGGTTTTTTAGCTCCTTTAGCTACAAATCTTTACTTTTATCCATTTTTTTTGTGTAATCTTGGGAAGTGCTTGTGTAACCTGTTTTTTTTTTAATTCTTAGCTAACTGCTCCAACTTAGAAGAAAATGTCTCATTTATCCGAACCAAGAATGAAAAATTAATACTTCGCCCAACTTTAACTGATTACTAAAAAAATGTACTACGCCAGTTTAGCAAATAATTTTTTAAAGTTGACGCATTTAATAAGGAAAATAATAAAATGGTATAGCACTTGCTACATTATTTCTTAGATTACACGGGAAAAATTTTTTCTTCAGGAATCCCAGTTCAAAAAAATCTTTTTATCTACTAAAATAATTTTAGTGTAACCAAAGCTTGCCTTGAGCGTAACTAAGATTCCAGTTTTAGCAAGAGGAAGTATCATTCCATGAAGTGTGAGTGAGACAGATAGTGACGCTTTCGATTCAGATGCTAATGGGTGAGTGAGACAGATAGTGACGCTTTCGATTCAGATGCTAATGGGTGAGTGAGATAGATAGTGACGCTAATGTGTCAAATACCAAGAGACATTTTATGAGGTGCGAGCGAGACAGATAGTGACGCCACTTTTTGAAAGTTTATTTAAAGCTAATTGGAATTTATCTGAGCTTAGGCAAAGAATTACGGAAGCAGCTGAATTTGTCAACAACGGAAGATTTGCCCGTCTGATAATCCGGTCTTTTTTAAGAAGATGTCGAGCTTGTATTGCAGCTGAAGGAAAGCAATTTGAACACCTTTTGTAAAAAATACCTTAGCATCCAAATAATTGTTGTTTAATTTTAAAGTTAAGGAAAATTTATCCTAACTAAGAAAAAGTATGACTCGAATGCGTCACTATCTGTCTCACTCACACTTCATGGATTGATTCTTCCTCTCACTCAAACTAGAATCTTAGTTACTTTTTCTTCTAAGTTGGAGTAGTTAGCTAAGAATTAAAAACAACAGGTTACACAAGCACTACCCAAGATTACACAAAAAAAATTAAATCGAAAAAAAAGTAAAGATCTGTAGCTAAAGGAGGAAAAAATACATGACTAAGATTTTTTTTGTATTTTTCTGGTAACTATTATGATTTGTCCTGTCACCCGATTCCGGCTTGACGTCGACTTTTGGGACAACCTGTATACCGTACTAAACTAGCACGCTACACACCATGGCCCTGTTAATAGCCACCACCCTCTCATCCCTGAGAGATAAGTTCGCCGCTTAAAATTATTATTACTTATTTTATAATACATATAATCACGCCTCTTTCCCGTAGGTGTAGGCAGAGACCACTTCTTTCCACTTGCTACGATCCTTACATACTTGTTTCGCTTCGTCCACTTTCATTATTCCATTCATACATGCTCTACGGTTTAGGGTACTCTTGACCTGGCCTTTTTTCAAGACGTCCCTGATTTGGTCTAGAAATGTCCGCCTAGGTCCCTTCCAACACTTTCATTCACACTCGCCTTATACACTTTTTTCGTCAATCGTTCTTCATTCATTCTCTCGACATGGCCAAACAATCTCAGCATACCTTTCTCAATTTTTATCACTACATCTTCTTTCAGACCACAACGTTTCCTTATCTTACTATTTCTTATCCTGTCACTCAGTTTAACTCCTATCATACTTGTTAACGCTCTCATCTCAACTGCATTTATTCTGCTTTCATTTTTCTTCTACCATACCCAACTTTCACTTCGGTACATGAGTGTCGGAACCAACCCCTCCTCATGCACAGCCAAAAGAGCCTTGTTAGACACCTTCCGACTGCTCATAAACGAGTGCAAATCTCCATTCACCATGTTTCCTGCATTCACTCTTCTTTCGATATCACTCTCACACTTTCCATCTCTTGTAAACTTTGAACCCAGATACACAAACTCTTTCACCTGTTCAATTTGTTCATCTTCAATCACGATATTGAAGTCTGTCACTGCCTCATCTTTTTCAAACACCATCACTTTCGTCTTCCTTACATTCATCTTCATTCCCTTTCTAACAAAAGCTCCACTCATAGCAGTTACCATCTCCTGCAACTCCTCGGCCGAAGATGCAAGTAATACTTGGTCATCAGCATAGAGAAAACATTTGACGAGTAACTCATTCATTCTCAACCCACTTTCATTCTCTTTTAAATCTGTCAAACAATGGTCCATGGACAGATTAAACAGCCACGGTGACGCTACACAGCCCTGTCTAACACCTTTTTCGATATTAAACCATTCATTGTATGCCCCGTTTATCC